CTTATTTTGTTGATACAAGGTGGTCCCGATTCAACATACAGTGTTAACGAAGGACACTGGACCGTCTTCGAAATGGTTTTTTATATTATTTAAAAATTGCGAAAATCTTTTTTTATTGTTTGTATCGTAAGCTTTTTTTTATAAAAAAAAAAATTTGATTTTTGTTGTTGAAATAACTACTAAGAATTAAGAGATTTTATCAAATCAAACGTAATGTGTGTGTGTATGTGTTAATTTTAATAATATAAAGCGTTCGCGTGGCTTTATTGGTACGAGGGAGACGGACACAGCTAGACCGTCACAGACTGCGTGTGGTTTACACATACTTAGGTAAAGAGTTAATGTATCATATTATTATAATATTCGTATTCCGAGAATTATTCATCATAACAGTCAAGTGGAAACACACAAATAAATATATGGCTCCGCGGTGCCACGTGCGCTGAACGTCTGCTAAACGTATGTATCGTTTGATCCGCGATGAATCTTTGTCGGATTTAATAGTGTACTCAATTATTGGTCGATATTTAAGTAGGAAGAAAAAAAAACAAGCATGATTTATACCGATCCGATGTATATGGAAAGATAATTGTTTGTATGATATTTCGGTGAATAGCAGATATTATTAATTATCCGTAAAATCGACTAAAATCAATCATATAGGTATACATCTCGTGACGTGCGCTTTTTCACGCGGACAAGAGTGATAAAAATAAAAATAAGATAAGTACTTCGAATTGAATTAATCAACACAACGCAACGGTTGTCGACATTGGACGGGACACGATGAAATAAATAAATAAAAAATAAAAAAAAACAAAACCTGTGTTGCGGAGAAAACAATTTCAATGTATTTATTACTCGAGTTATTCATTTGTTACCACTATTACGGCTCTGGTGTTATTATTGTAAAGTATTATTGTGTAACACAATATTCATTGTGTTTTGGGCATATTGTTATAGTATGTGGGAGAGGAATGAGCGCGAGTGAGGATTTATCGCGTCCAAAACGATAATGGGAGTAAAAATCGACGCTTTTGGTAATGACAGTGAAAAAAAAAATCAAGTCGTTCTGGAGAAATCAATCTTTGTCGTGGGCAGGTTGATATATATTATAAAATATATGCACTGCACACCAAACGCGGGACCTATCGCCTATAAAACTAGCTTGGCTTGGTTTTGATTTCTCCTCTGCTCTAGCACTATGTCCGCGCACACACGGTGCCCCTCGAGTGTGTAACCTTTGTACAAATAATATAAACACTCCGGATGAGTAGGCATGTTCTCCTCGCGGCATATATATATTATTATTATTATATTATTTTGTTTTTTTTTTATATTGTATACGATCGGACGTTTGAGGAACCATTTGTCATCTCTCTCTCTCTCTTCGGCTTCAGGGACAGAACACTGCACGGGCCCGGCCGATATATATACGGTTTTCAACGTGGCTGTATGTGTATAAAAAAAAAAAGAAGAAGTGTGAACCACTCGACCTTGCCGCGGAGAGACCAATATTACGATCAATTTTTTTTTTTTACTATCATTATTATTATTAATGTAATAATTCGTATTGATCGGATCGCGAGACGGGCGGAGGTCTGACCCCGAAATGTTACTTACTTTTCTGAGGTCATCAACACCGGATCGAATGATGGAAACAGATTTTTTATTTATTTTTTTATCGCCGCTCCGCCTCCGGTGATCATATCCCCGGAAACTGATGATTTTTCGCCACACGAGTGTGTACGTTAACACACAAAGCAAATAAACACATGGTCATTAAACCACAAACATAGGGTGTGTTGAACATTTCATCGATTACCGCTTCACCCAAGAGAACTTCCAGAAAGCTCTACGGTGGGTTTGATTAAATATACAGAAACGTACCTACTTATTAAAATAATTATTAGTTTTTTTTTTCAACAGCTATTCCAAGGCGTTTTGGTATGGTTTTTCCTTATATATATATATATTATATTATACATACATAATTTATACGGCGATAACTGTTTGTACATAAAACGTCCAACGACTGGTAATTAAAAATAAATAGTGAAAATGGGTTTCCGTACTTATGTATATATATGTATATTTTTTTTTTTGTAAGGATAGTGAATGAACCGAACATCACCGCGTTCCTATCTACTACACGTATGTATCTGCTATCTACATACCGAGCCGTCGACGCACAAAACATACCTATACGGTTCGATACAGTTGGTGAGCTCAACGTGTGTATTATAATATATATATATATATATATATTATATAAAAATCCAAACACTGTGATAATAAAAAAAAAAGAAGCGTGATACTCCTGAAAACCCTATAGAGAGACCACCGCCGGTGTAGGTAGAAATTAATTCCGTTGTCGTACGCGAGTATAATATGGGCTGGCAGATTTATTGGAAGATACGCGCTGTTTAATTGGGCCCCTTGTAGTGTTTTTACATACCGTATAGTACTTATACGTAATGAGTAGGATTTCAAGTCCTGGATTTTATGTTTTTGTTTTATTAAAAAAAAAAAATAAATAAAACAGGTGAACGTATTGTGTATAATAATATTATTTAAATCAGAGTGGGCAGTATAGATTCCCGGTGATCATATATTGGCAGCGTGATGTATTTAAGCGTCCGTGTAGGTTGTCGCCGGAGACGACGTACGGGTTAATATTATTAGTATAAATTAGTTTGGGAGTCGACAAACCGCTAAATCCCCGTGGCCGGTTAGCAGGCGGAATGTATTCGCGCGCTAACAGGAAATAATTGTAGAACGTCAACATAAATAATATTATATAAAAAAAAAACATGAAAAAAATTAAACTTAGCATATTAAAAGAGTAATATTTATTCTCGCGGTACAGACACAACTAGGTATAAAATTTTAAAAAATATATATATATTTCAATGAATCAATAATCATTTTACAAATGGCTTAAATAAAAATATCGTGTAAATGAACATATATTATATTTTATACATATATGTATGTTGAGTCGTTATCTATATATATAATAAGCTAAAGGATAAACAGGACCTATCACTTAGCGTAGCATATTAATGATCATGGACCGGTTTTATAAGAAATTGGTTTATTTTTTTGGCTCCTTTAAATTTGCCCACTAGATCGCGACCCGTCTATTCCTGAGTCCGACCCTTCAGAACCAACACGTTTGGACGTTACGGCTGATAAATTGTAAATTAACATAGTCAATTTGTTAACGGCCAACAAACCGTTTTAGGTTATTATTGCACATGTATAGTTGAATGTCGGTCGCTATCAAACCAGAAACGTTATTATTATAATTATTCGAGTAAATGTAGTGTTTTATCCGTGCTGTAGAGTGTAGACGACAACACAATTTGGAAAACTCATCCTTTTGTAAATATATATATATATATATATATGTATATAGGTGTTTTATTTACATTCTGTACCGTACTCTCTACTTACTAAACTAAAGTCTAAACCAAACCGACCAAAAGTGATAACATAAAAGAAACAACCGACCGCATAGAAAATCTAGAGAGACAAATAGAGGCGGACTGGCGCGCTGTTTTAATAATAGTATACCCGGGTCAGTACAGTGTGGCGGCGATTTGTTTCGGTCTTGTACTTATGTATAATATGGACTTTGTGAGGAGCCTGCGGTGGCCGTGGGGGTGGCGACACGTCAGAAAAAAAATCTTCTTCTCGCGCGGTCCACAGAAGTCGGTGTCACCCCGCGCTAACACAGGTGCCAACCATTGTGCACACAAACGTCTACTGCATGTAGACCGGCTATCCCGACACGTCTGATTTTATGATTTATACGACGGGGCCCGCTTCTGTGTCTGCACTACTCTACGACGCCTATAAATCACATATACCCGGTTTCCCGAAAAAAAAACTACACAAAATAAAAAATAAAAATCTCAACGTATAACCACCACCACTACCTCCACCGTATAGACAGCGGCCAAAGAATATTATGTTTACGGTTCTCGTTGAAAATTCGGCCACCGCTCAATAGCCGGCGAGGTAATAAATTTTTAAATAAACAATGCCGTCGACGTTTGGAGACCTTCACACTTAGCCGAATAATAATAATTGCTTGTAAAGAGGCGTTAATGATACATAATACGATGTTGCTGTGTCTCTTGAGACGTCCACTGTTACCCGAATCGCATGGTCCCTATTCAACCTACCTCTCGCACCAATATCAACAAGAAGATTATATTCTTTTCTCGGATTTCTAAAAAAAAATTTCATCCACTGTAGTTTAGAGTAACAACAACGATGTTGTTACTCAAATTGTCCCGGCACCGTGACCAATTGTTTGGACGCGCATATCGCCGATGATTTCAATAAACAAATAACTGCAGACCTTTTTAACAAAACCGTATAAACATGTATAATTATTGTTTGAATTGTTCAGCGGGCTTATAGTCCTCTAATCGCGGTCACCGACGGCGTTTACATTGCATTAACGTAAAATTATGAACGCGTTTATATTCAAACAGCCGACAAGTTTGTGTTTATTGTACTGTATACATTGTAAACGAGCAAAATGATAATTGCACACATGGTTAGGTGTTTAGGGTCAACGCTTGACACTCCGGTAATATTAGATTATATACATAAAAAATAATACATAGTTGGTCCAACTAAAATTATGTTTAATGTAGAGACACAATACATTTCTAGTTGGAATAACTAAATAAATAGTTGGGCCAACTACATTTTTAGTTAAAACAACTATACATTTAGTTCGGTCGACTAAATGTTTAGTTGGGCTAGATTTTTATTTAGTTATTCCAACTAGAAATGTACTGTGTCCCTATATTAACCATAATTTTAGTTGCACCTACTAAGTATTTTTTCTCGTCTACAGTCTCTAAATAGGTGTAGGATGTATTGGAAACGTTCACAGTATGGACAGTATAGCATTAAGGTGGTAATATTATACGATCCGGTTAATATAAACAATAAATAAAAATACAGGTTATTAGTACCTGGCGTAGTCTTGTCGACAGTAAACCGAATCGTCTTTGACAAAACACGACGGTTCGTCTTCCAAAATCAAATTGCAAACGCAACACCTCAAACAGGACACGTGCCAAATCTTGTCGGACACTTTTAGCAAAAACCGGTCGGTGATCGGATCGGAGCATCCCCGGCACTGCAGCACTTCAGTCTGAAACAACAGAGCAAACAAATTAATTGATAATGATTATTATAGTTTCAACTGACACTGTGTCGAATAAACAATTTGTTTTCAACCATCCGAGCAAACATGAACGAGGCAAGTTATATTCTAAATATAACGCGGCAGTTTGAATGAATATCATTAAAACGATAATAATATATACTCGACAAGTTTGTATGCATCTACTATTAATTTTCTTCGACACAAACAGAGATCACGGTTTCGCGGTTAGGAGGACATTGGATAGAACGTCCGAGTACCGCTTTTGTTACAAATAATATGACTTTATTAATTAATTACCGCAAAGGTAAACGCCGTAGCTCCTATGCTGAAGCTGACAGGCGGTCACTATAATATTCATTAATCACGGTGTATAATATATACGTTGTTTGTCGATTAATTATAAGATATTATTGTTGTAATTAATTAAACAAGATTCTTTTTTATTTCTATTCGAAAATAATTGCTGAACCACGATTCTCGACGGATAATCGACAATATCAAGAGAAACGCTTCGACCGGATTGATTTTGCATAGTAATTAATATCTCAACGTGAAAAATACTCGAGCTGCTGTTAGTCGCAGCTGTCGATTGCCGGGACGAAAATTATAATATTTTCTCAAGACGCCGGTCATTCGATTAGTGTTACATGTAATGTGTATATTATTATATCTCGCCCTCCCGGCGTTCTTGGCGGCTCAGGTACAAATTGTGATGTCATGTCTCCGCAGTATTTTACACTATTTACATGAATGCTAGCAGCTACTCCGTTGGTTTTATTTGGATCGGTACAAACGAAACGACACCGGCTTAATACGAACCGATTTTTATTTTATGTATTTACAGACTTGTATACCTTATTTTTTTAATCGCTATATTAATATATGCCGTGATCACATGCGAGTCGACGGGCGGTTAAACTATTGGTGTACACTACAACTACCGCACAGCAATATATCTTTCGGGTTGTTTACGGTTTCGCACGCGATTGTCGATAACGCGCAGCCACGGCTGAACTGCATAATATTATTATTATACACATAATTTAAAATATGCCTATAAATTATGAATGTAGTATACACTACCGACTACATAATGTATACCGACTTAACCGCGAGGCACATCGAGACCGGTGTGTATCATCAAAAAATGAACGCATACTCTTTTTCAAAAGAAGATGTTTACAAATCTTCCTAGCAGTTGATCCTCATTGACCGGACCATAATATTAAAACGATAACCCAAAAACTCTGCGAAGAAAATAAGAATGCTTTTAATGTTATCCATCTCTATTGAATTTGGCGTCGTAAGATTTCTATTTTCTTAAACAGCTTTTTAAATAAAGGGCGAAGCAACTTGAAAGCCAACCGTCAATTCCATACGACTAGGAACAAACAATATACATAATTTTCGAAAAGCGTTTTCTAAAAGTCAGTCACAGATGATAACCAGTCGGATAGTCAAACATATTTTTTACAGTTTAAAGCATCGGCCGAATTGAAAAAAAACCTAGGCCTAATTTGACTATGCCAACTACTACCGGTTTTTCAAAACGATTAGACTTTAACGGTGGTACACGATATAGGGAGGTTGCACGAACGACAGCGGCGAGTAACGTCACCGGTCACATTCTATATTATATTTTGACATGACCACTCGTCTAAGACAAATAAACATTATGGTTTTATCGGGTACCCAATAACTTGACATTATTTTAACATGCCGTTTTATTTATATAAATTATAATATTGTACACGACATGGGCAAACGTGAAACTCATACCCTGCATGGGACGATACTTATCGTAATAAAAAATATTTATATTAAAAAAAAAAACGTCCGAAATCATAACCGAGGTGTTTATTGACTGACCAACTCGGATTTTGGACGGACGGATAAAAAAAAAAAATACATTAAAAGATAAAAACAAGACGTCCCGTCGTCGTGCCGGCAATATTCGCCCAAGGTATAGTTATATGATTACAGTTATAATAATTGTGTTGTTTTGTGACATGCCGTAAAGATGTTCCACAGAGTTTGTATGAAAATCCTAAGCGACACTGAATTATGTACATTGTGATTATATTATTATACGTAGGATAACTTCGGAGAGCACGTGCCCATAAAAATGGTAACAAATTGCCCAACGGATCTCCTACACGGACGCTATAAAGAACATAATATACTATTTAGTGTCTTACAAATGTAAAACAAACGAATAAACACGTGTAAGCGCGTCGGACTCCCGCAGATTTTATAAAACGGTATTAACTTGTCACATTATAATCGTGTGTACAAATATGGTCAGAGGGGGGGGGGGGCATCAGCGTGTTGTGTGGTTGGCGAATGCGGTTACCAACACGAAAACAAATGTTTTACAATATTATTCGCAATTTATGGATGAGACCAAGATCCGGATATTAATTAGATATTTAAATCCGTAATTGTTGGATTAACCGAATTTACTTATAGTTTTTTTTTATCAACATTAAATAACAAAAATTCTTCCACATTAAATTATTTTATTCTCCGTGTGAAATTTTTCAGTATGATCTAGTTATTTTAAGTTACCAGGGAAAAACCCTGAGCACCACTAAAATTTGCGCCAATTAGCTTATAAGTGACAACTGACACGTCATGTCGAAGTCAATTTTTGGGGGGATAGCTAAGGTCCAAGTCTTTTTGGCTGACTGACTTGACAAAAAAAATGTACATACATGCATGAATAAACAATTTTGTTTTTATTTCTATACTTTTTAATAATTGTAATATTTTTTCAATGTTTTTATGTTAATGTTAAAGATTGTTTAGAATTAAATTTAATTCAATTTTTTTAAGTATTATATATACAAAAATAAGAATACATTTAAATGGATATATTTATAACAAATAAATAAATCGATAGAATTATAGAAAAAGTTGCTAAATGATAATTGTTGCTTTTTTAAGTAAGGCCATTGTTTGGCAATATTATCAAGCTTAATACCATCAACAGTCTTTTTTCGAGGACAGCAAATCGTTTAAGCGTGAGTCACTGTATTGTATGGTCCTTAAATAACCGTTCACACCTTTAACTTGCAGAACGTTCATTTCCTGCAACAGTAACTGGAGCTGTACACGGTAAGCAAGATATTTTGTTGGCTACAGGAAGTTTTTGTTTTTACTTTTTCTGAAACAGGAACTACTCCCGATACAGTTTTTACTTCTTTACATTGGTCGTAAAGTAGGTACTTCTAGTTCAGCCAGTAAACATAACAGGTCAACAATACAACTTTTGGGTGAAAATTGAATGGCATCTTGAACTCATCGAGTTTTTTCTTGATCAGTTACAGGTGAGCTGACCATCTCATATAGCGGTTTGATAGTAAGTATGCAATTGTCTAAATTATTTTTCATCAGTGGTGTGAGCTTATCTGAAGCGTATACTTTTAATAGCTATACTGTCACTCTCATCTATACATTTTGATGTTGCGCTGGTTCCAATTTCTTCAACTTTAAAAGGAAAAAAGATGCCATTATTTTCACAAATATTGATGACTGAACATCTGAGGTGAGACTTAATTTTAAGTTAGCCAAACGAAAAAAGTATTTGACTATCAAAAAATGTGTAAAATATGCTTATCACCTAATATTTTCAACCTAATATTTTAAGTTCTAAGTATGAGTATTAGAAATAAATATACATTTTTAAATATGACTTGAGTAATACATACATTTTCCAATAAATTTGATGGTGGCACCTGTAAGTTTTTATTAGAAGCTTTAACAAATGGATTCTTAAACGCTCTTGGTTCTTTAACACTAACACGTTTTCCATTATGACATGCCGTCTCGTGTCGGGTCTTAAAGTCATTATCAAAAATACTTCCACGACATTCACATTGCACTTTTTTTCGTTTGCCCATCGTACAAATTTGATCAGTAGACAGTCCTAATTCAGAAACCTTAAAAGTTATTAGTTAATTATAAATTGAACATTTATAAATTAGAGTGAAATTTATAGTTTTCTATATATGCTTGTTTTGATTTTCAAAACAAAACAATTATTTGAAAAATTATTGTTTCATTTAATCTCGTTGAACCATAAATTATTAATATTATATATTATATTATAATAATAATATATTTAACATTGCTAAAATTACGTATTATTGTTTTTTAGTTGTTTATGGATATTGGATACTATGTTTATATATGAAATGCTTATACTTCATAATCTAAAATTTTTATTTGTACAGTATTATTTCTTATGTCTATACTCTTGTCTCTTGCGCTAGGGGCTATAAAGCCACAAGGAGAGTAAATAATGTTGAATAATAATATAATTTTACATAATAACAAAAACGAAAAACAAAGATAGGTACAACTGTTGTGTATAATTAATTAATAATTTCACGTAAAATTAGATTAATTGATGAAAAAACTTACCAAATTATCTAATCGGTTGGCTGTCTGAATTTGGTTCCATGAAGAGTTCGTAGAGAAATAAAATAAAAAAGATAACGCTAAACAAATACACAGTCGATAGAAAAGATTTCCAAAAATAACAAATTCAACACTGGGGCCACCCAACCAAGCGTACTGTATATTAATACAGTAGGCAACAGGAAACAATAATAATAAAAAAATAGTTATTAGAGAGATAAAAATTGCGGTATTGACACACTATTAGTATGCCTACATTGATTTTACTAATAGACGATGGCGGAATCTTATTTTGTTTTTAAGTAAACAGTAAATCTTTGTTTATTCATTGTTCTGTAGCTGTACCTACATGTATGAATGAAAAAACCTATTTTGATAATTTAGAGTGAGAATGAAAAATATAATTTTTCCACTAAATTAATGTTGTACAGTAGATAATAAGTATATTATATTTTCGGTCATTTGATTTTTTCTATGTCGATTTTGCTGACTTTAATTGTAAAAAAGTCCATTTGGCCGACTCAGGTATTTAGGGGGTCAAGTTGCTCCTCAGTTTTGCATGT